GAGTGGCTGGTTTGAGCTTTCCCAGGTCCTGATGCACCTTTCCAGAGCTGAGAGGCAACAAGTGTGGGTCCGAATGGAACTCCCTGGCACTTTGCCCTGTCAGCCCAAGGCCTGCCTGACAATAAGCTCTTCCTGAGAGCAGAAACTGAAGCACGGCCTTGGGCCAGGGTGTGGAGATAAAGGCCCCAGAGCAATTGGATGGCCTGTAGCAAAAGCCCCAGTATTGCTATGCTCTTTGACCCAGGAAATAATCTCAAAGAAGAGAAGGACTGTGTGCAGGAAGGTAGACAAAGCATTGACTCAGAGGGACTGGTACTGCCTCAGAGCACTGTACACTCCCAGCCCACATTTGTGGGAGATTAGAGGCCTGAACTCAAGGCCAGGTCTGCCCCTCATGCTGCCAATGACCCAGCATGGGCTTCCTCAAGTCAGGACCTAGGGAGAGAGTAGGGGGTGGGGTGATTCACTGGCAGTGCCTGTCACTGGTGAGAACGTGGCTGTGTTCTTACCTTACTGGGTCTCTGAGATCACTTTAAGCCCTGCTGTTTCAGATCACATTTTTGGCCAATCTTAGAAGGCTCCATCTTTTTCAGAAAGTCTGTAGTTTTAAGTATGTTTTCCTTACTGCAAAATGTACTCATTTTTACAGGAAGCTTAGGATATTAAAAAATATATATATCAGGTGATGATTTAAATAAACACCTCCGATTTATTTACCGTGTTCTCATATAGATAGTGGGGAAAAGATGAGGGAGGCTTTCTGCTCCCGGAAAGATTTACAGTCTTGGAAACTCTATATAGGGTCACCGTGAGTTGGAACTGACTCCACAGCACACAGTCTGCCAACCATAGAGATGTTGTTAAGTGCCATCAAGTTGATTCCAACCCATAGTGACCCTGTATAGGGTTTCCGAGGAGCAAGTAGGAGCTTGAACAAGTAATATTTTGGCACATTTCCTTCCATTCTTTTTCTCTCAGTACTGATATGTAGATAACTATGCCTACACACACACACATATCATAATGGCTACTATGCATTGAACACTGACCATGTAATAAAAACCCCAGACCACTAAACTATCTCAGTTAGCCCTCACAACAACTCTGCAAGAAAATACTTCGTAATTTACAGATTATAAAAAAATTAGACTTGCGACATTTCAACATGTTCAGGTTTGAATTCTTGAAAGCTCATCGTATGGACCAGTAGCTGGAGCGTTGGTCTGGGACGCTAGCAATAACGGTGTTAGGGAGCAAACGTGCCCTTTTCTTCCCAGGCCAGGCCCGTGTTTTTCTCAGCCATGTAAGGGCTGAGTAATTTGAAGGAAGTGGAACGCTTGTCCATTTCTTCAAAGAACATCTGCCAAATTTCTTCTCCTTTCCTGCTGCCTCTCTCTGAATGTGTATGCATGTTTATCATTCCCTTTCTGAATGCAGCACTTTACTCCTAAATACTCCAGGGTTTATAAAAACTAGGAATCTTTTCTTCTGCAATCACAGGACATTATCTACTTCAGTAAATTCAGCATTGATACAAAAGTCTCATTTAATCAAACCTTCAGGGAAAGGAGCTCTGGTAGCATAGTTGTTACACATTGGGCTGCTAATGTGAAGGTCAGCAGTTTGAAACTAGCAGCCATTTCTCGGGAGAAAGATGAGATTTTCTGCTCCCGTAAAGATTGACGGCCTTGGAAACCCTATGCAGGGTTTCTATGAGTCAGAACCGACTGCATGGCACAGAACCACCACCACATTCTACCCTTCATGTTCCAGATTGTCAAATTGTGCCCTACATAGCATTTTCCAGGAGGATGCAGGGCAGGTTCAGTCCAGGTCATCTAATGCCCGATTTCTGAGAGCAGAGAGCTGAGTTGGGCAGACAGGACCACCTCTCTGTTGCAGAGTTATTAAATTTCATGCATAAAACCCTATGGACCAGGGTCTTGGGTTGTCTACCTTTTCTGCTTTGCCAGAGGTAGTGGGGAAGCCCTGTTTCCACGGTCATTGCAGCTGTACTTCCCCC